AGCTGGAAATAAAACGTGAAAATCAAGAAGAAATTAAAACTTGTCTTCACATAACTGATGCCCCTTTTGGCTATGACTTACTTTTCGGCACAAATTCACTAGGCAAATTAGGATTTAAATTAGTAGACGTTCCTAATAATGATTTAATTGATTTTGGAAGTGAAGGTTTAGACCAAAACAACGATGCAGAAAGAGTCATTTATAGGACACGGATCCAAACATTAACCGTTGAAGTTGATGATGTAGGATCCGTTGGAAAAGAACTCAACGTCCTTGAAAATAAAGTAGGGAGTGGTAAATTTAAAGAGATCGAAGAGTTGAATAAAATTAAGGAGAAGAAATTTGAAGAAAATAGGAAAGAAGATGAAAAGAAAGTTGAATTTGAAGAAAAAATAAGTGTTTGTGGAAAAGGGTTGTCTAAAGATGAAAAGGCTAAGACTGCCAAGAATAATTTTAGAAAATTGAACGACAACCTTCTTCGAATTGATAAGGGACAAAAACGAAAATTTGATAAGAAAAGATCAATTTTCATTGGAAATCTCCCATATAAAACATTAGTCGAATCAGTTAGGACTCACTTTTCAAAATGCGGAAAAATTACTGGCGTTCGTTTACTTCGAAATAAACAAACGGGACTTTGCAAAGGAGTTGGTTACATTGAATTTATTGACCCGACTTCAATTAAGAGGGCTTTTGAACTAAATGAATTGTCTTTCGAAGGAAGAAAATTGAGAATTTCTAGAATTTATGAAAAGAAGAAACTGGCAAAGATGAAGGACAAAAATGAAAATTTAAACTTGAAACCGTCTAATTTGAAAAGAGGAAATGAAAAATGTTTGAACCGAAGAGGAGAATTTAAAGAGAAAAAGGTTCTTGAAACAATTCCGAGGACGGAATTATCTAAATACGAGGAGGGGAGAGGTGATAAGGTTGAGAGCCGATTGATAGACAAATTTTCGAAAATAAACGAAATTGAAACATTGAAGGCAACCCAAAGGCCAATTCACGAACTAGGCGTTCGAAATGTAAAATCGAAAATTGTTGTTCCAAGAAATGAAAGAAGTGGAAGGAACTCAACAAGAAATGATTCAAGGAGGAGCGGTCTAGGCGACCAAACCTCTAGAAATCGTTGGATTGGCACTGAAAATTGGAGGGAGCGCGATCTAGGCGATCAAACCCCTAGAAGTCGTTGGAGTGGCAATGAAAATTGGAGGGAGCGCGATCTAGGCGATCAAACTCCTAGAAGCCGTTGGCATGGAATTGAAAATCGAAGGGGACGAGGTCTAGGCGACCGAACCCCGAAGCGTTCTGTCTTTGAGAGAATCAAACGTTATGAAAGAAGCCGATTCGAGACAGTTTATGAACCACCCCTTTCGCAGCCGAATGCTAAGCCGAGGGACTCGTCTTCTTAGAAGGTGGAGATGTGGTGAACCTCAGACTCAATTTGACTTTAATTTAATTTAAATAAATAAATGACATTGTATCCCTTTTTATGTTCCTATAAAAGAAAATTCTCTCTCCCCAAATTCGGTTCATTCGTTCATTCGTTCATTCTATTAAGTTTGTTCTTTGAGTGTTCCCTTCCCCCGTTTTATTTATTCCCATAATTTATTGGTTTGAATTGTATTGCCTCTTATTAAATAAATATTGAATTGATTCGTATTTGGACTTGAATTGATTTAAAGAAGAGTAAAATAAAAAGAAGTTATAAGAGAAACATAAATTTATTTCTCACGCCGCAATCTCAGTCCGCAAATCTCAGTCCGCAAATTTCAGTCCGCAAATCTCAGTCCGCAAATTTCAGTCCGCAAATCTCAGTCCGCAAATTTCAGTCCGCAAATCTCAGTCCGCAAATTTCAGTCCGCAAATCTCAGTCCGCAAATTTCAGTCCGCAAATCTCAGTCCGCAAATTTCAGTCCGCAAATCTCAGTCCGCAAATTTCAGTCCGCAAATCTCAGTCCGCAAATCTAAGTCCGCAAATAACAGCCAATTAAAAAAATATTTTATTTCCTCCTTTTTTAAAATATCTTTTATTAAAAACTTTCTAAATATAATTAATTTTAAATATAGAAAATTTAAAAAAAATTTATTAATTTTGTTTCCATTTTCTAATTTTTCCATTAAATACATAAATAATTATATAATTACCAAGTAATTAAGAAAAATTTTTTTAATAGCTATAAATAAATTTATTTCTTTTATTTCCCCCTTCCACTCATTTTATTTCCCATTAAATTATTATTTTTTTATTGGTTTTGTTCTCCCTATAAGGCAATTGAAATAATTTTTTTTATTTTCCTTTGGCGCTTACTAGGCTAATTGAGCAGCTAAACAATAAAGCAAATAAAATAATATTATGTGAAAAATATTGAGAGGGGAAGGGGGGAGGTAGGAGTTGGAGGGAGAGAATTGAGGGAAGGGGGGGTGAGGGAGAGAATTAAGGGGATAAGGGGGGAGAGGGAGAGAATTGAGGGGGGGGGGGTTGGAGGGAGAATGGGGAGATTAAATAAAATGCGCATTTCTATTTCTACAAAATATGTATTTGCCAATTCTCTCACAATTAAATTTTATTATTTTTTTAAATTTATTTTTACATTTTTTAAAATTCTATTCTAAGAAAAGTCATAATATATAACTAATTAATTTTTAGCATGTCCTAGATACAAGTCTTAGGGGTGCCCATGATTTAACCATAGAGCAAAATCGAAAATTATTTTTCAAATCACAAGATAAAGACTGCAGAAAATTATGTATTTTTCCAAAATAAAAGAGCAAAGGAGCAAGAACCAGAATAATCGACCCGGGAGCTATAGTATATTGAGGTTCAGACTTGATTCCAAAATTTTTTCTGAGCTGGGTTGATAAGTCTTACATCTCATCAAAAACGAAGCTGCACTTTGGGGTGCCCGAGATACTTAACCCGATACAGTCAAGGTATACGAGCTGGTTCCAAAAACAATCTTTTGTTTTTTTCTGCTACTTTGGGATGGGAAACATAATTTACTTGTTTCATAAAACATCGAAATTTGAATTAGGTATCTTTTATTTTTATATTTATTTTCCTTCTCTGTGAAGGCTCTCATATGAAGGCTCACATTTATGAGCCTCTCTGTGAAGGCCTCTCTGTGAAGGCTCACATTTATTTTCCTTCTCTGTGAAGGCTCTCATAATTTTTCTTAATTAATTTTAATTTTTAATTTTCGGTCTCCCTAATTATATCTTTTAAATTAATTTATTTAAAATTAATTTTTCATAAATTAATTTTCTTTTTTTAATTATTAAAATAAACATTTAAGCATTTTAATTGTGAGAAACGTGGCAAAAACCCTTTCTCCCTCCCCCCACAAACCATTTTAGCGTTTTTTTAATTAAATTTTTCTTTTTCATTTCCTTACTGCTAATTTATTTATTATACCCCCTAATTTCTATTTAATTTTCCAATTTTTCTTTCTTTTGTTGCTTTTAATTGACTGTCAGAAAAATATTTTTAGAATTATTTAAATATTTATAAGACAGCTATTAATAGAAACAATTTAATTTTTATTTAAATTGCTAAATTTAAAGCTATAATTAAATTTTTTTTGTTGTCTATTTTCTTGTTATAAAATATTTAAATTTAATTTTTAATTTTTTAATTTGAAAATTAAAAATTTTTTTTTAAATTTTCCGGGTGCGGTAAATTAGGCGCGCGATTTGTTTTTAACATAACTCGCTTAAATTAGAACAAAAGTTAATATTGTTTATTCTATTAATAACACTAGGGTTATTGGTTTTACCAAATTCTTCGGTTACCCTCAACCGAACAGATAATTTGTCGACAATTTTAGAGATATATGGGATTATGGGGGTGGGGTATAAGTGGATTTGTGTGGGGTTTCTCGAGTTCGGTTCGGTTTGAAACCGACATACTTACATAGATAACACTATAAGAAAACTTATTTGTCTACTTTATTTGAGACTATTAGGTTATGTTAAAAAATAGCGTGCCTAATTTGCCGCACCCGATAAATTTTTTTAAATTTAATTTTGTTAGACCCTCTAGTTAGACCTGTTTCTCAAAACTATTTTAAAAACATTATTAAATTTTAGACGATCTTAAATTTTAAAATTTATAATTTAATTATGTCAAGTAATTTCTCGATAGAAACAATTTTATTAAACGACCAAATTGAGCAATTCGAAAAAAGTAAAAAACTTTATTTAATGGGGTTTTCGAGTCGGATCGACGTTCGAGTCATTTTTTTCAGGCCAAAATTCGATGCCCGACTTGATCTTTCGGACCGGACCCCCAACTCTACAGATTAGTGTCAGATGTGGGACTATATTTGAGGGATCCTGTCGCAGCAAATTTTTGAATAAAATTTTGTTTTGCCGATCACTAATACATAAAATTATGAATAAATAGAAATTATTCTCAAGGCAGAATTAATAATTTCAGTCGAGTCTCGAATCTCTATATAACGACACCCTTCTTGTTGAGTTTTGGTGTCATTATAGAAGTAGTGGGATTTTGTCGGGTAATCAAATCAGAATCAGACACAGACCTTGGGATCGGATATAACTCAAGTATAAAGATAGCGACTTGCTTTCTGAAGAGACTCCTCTGATTTATTTTTAAAAAGAATCTACTAATTTTAATAAAAATTTATTTTAAAAATTCTTATAGGTGAAGAATTTAATCCACTCGAAACAGAAAACTCTTCCTCTATTTTATCTGAGACAAGTTCCGCTTCGTGTAAGATGCGAAGATTTCGAACAGCTTTTGATACTTTTCAATTGGTAAAGTCCTTATACCCCTTTTGACTAAAAAAATTTATATTTCTTTTTCAGAAAAGTTTAGAATCTCGTTTTAAACAAAGCCGCTATTTAAATATTGGTGAACGTATAAAATTGGCAGATTCGTTAAAATTAACTGAAACACAAGTACAAATTAAATAAAATATTAATTAAAAAAATTATTTTTTAAAGATAAAAATTTGGTTTCAAAACAGACGAACAAAATGGTTGGTAAACAAATATAATATAGTCAGACCTCGTTATTAGGGTTGTTCCTCGACGGGGGGGGGGAGGGTGGACGGTAACGGGAAAATTTTTCTTTTCTTACGGGAGGTGTTGGAGGGGGAGGGGGGATGGGGAATTTTCATAAAATCTCTCAAATTCCCCGACTTTCGGGGACGGGGAACAACCCTACTCGTTATACATCCTTGGGCTAAAATATATGGCCTACCAGATTTCAGAAAGTTTACCTTCACTAAATTGAGACATACCTAATAATGGGTATTTGACTATTTTTATTATTAAAGATTAAAAATATTTGAGGTATAATTTTTTAAATTTAAGGAAGAAAGAAAATTTTATCACAAATCAAGAAAAAGAATCTTCCCCACCAAATATCCTGTTGGATGTGAAAGAAATACAAAATAAAAGAACAGAGGAAATAAAAGAGACTTCAACTTCATTTACTTCCTCTTCCTTCTCCTCTACCTCCTCTACCTCCTCTTCGTCTTCCTCTACTTCTTACTCATTCCCTTCCTCTTCATTAGCATCTTTTTATTCTCCAACTACTATCAACAATTTATCAAATATTCCTAATCAGAATTTTGAAGAAGGGTTAAATGAAGAAAATAATAATATTTTGACCAGCATTTTAGGTAATTAAAATATATTTTGAATTCCAAACTTTGACTTATATCTACCGTATTTCTAAAATAGTACTCCCCATTAGATAATACTCCTTATTTGGGGGAGGGTTGGAAAACTACTTCCGGGAGTATTATTTTAGGAAATATGGTATTTTTATTTTCTCAATTACCCGCTTCTAACGGCGCATTAATAACCTAGGTGTTGGTGCTGTTCCAAATAATTTTAAATGTTTTTTAAAATTAGCTCCCCCTTCCATATGTACCGAAAATTCGTGTCACGACACTTGCAGATATGACATTTGCAGACCCGACACTTGCAGACCCGACCTTTGCAGACCCGACATTTGCAGATACCGACACTTGCAGATATGACACTTGCAGATCAGACATTTGCAGATCCGACTTTTGCAGATTAGACCCATTTTGACCTCTTCTTTACCTTACGTATGCACCGTGGAGTGTTTGCTGCTGCTGAGGAATCTTGGGATGCCCATCTCATCGATGATAGGAATAGGATCATGTTACGAGCCCAGAACCCAGCGACCGTTGACTCCCCGCGAGGCGCGTGCCGCAAAACCCCGCGCGAAGCGCGGGGTTTTGCACAAGCGCCTCGCCGACGCTCCATAGGTCTACGTTGAACATTTTGAACCTCCGGAAAAAAGTGGTACTGTTCGATCAGCTCGTCAAGTCAAATCGAATGGTATGGGTCTTATATCGAAACCTTTCCACCTTTGATTTTTTAAGATTTTTAATTTTTTTTTTAATTAAAAAAAATTTTTTTCAAAAATTAATATCTGCAAATGTCGTGTCTGCAAAAGTCTGATCTGCAAAAATCTGATCTGCAACTGTCGGTATCTGCAAATGTCGATCTGCAAAAGTCGTCTGCAAATGTCGGGCCTGCAAATGTCATATCTGCAGGTGTCGTATGACCCGAAAATTTTGCTCCAATAATTACCCTAATGATTATTCAAGAAAGTATGGTGTTTATTAGGGCTGGGCGAAATCTAAAAATAAAAAACGAAATGTGAAAGTTTTCGCGCTGAAAAATGTGTAAAAAGCGAAAATGCGAAATTAGCTGGGAATCATCAAAATGCGAATTTATGGGAAATCATCAAGTTTTAAGCTGAACCATCAAAAAAAATTTTAACTGACAACATTATTTTAAAAGGAAAAATTTTTTAAAATTTAAATTTTAGATCCCCAAATTAATTTACCAACAAATAATATCCAACAACAACCAATACTCAATTTATTACTCAATTTATTATCAACTAGTCAACACTCTTTTAATCATTCTTTAACATTAAATCCATTAATCCAACTTTTAATTTCCTTAAAAGACATGGATACAAACAATGCTTTAATTAATTTATTGGAAAGAATTGGGGAAGAAAAAGATAAAAAAGATGACATTTTGTCCCAAATAATATTTTAAAATGATTAAAAATATTTTTTAAATAAATTTGAGAATGAGAAAGGCATGGAAAAATTGATATTTCTTTTATAAATCCTTCAATAAATTGCATGTACAAAATTTTGAACGTAGTTTTATACAACATTTTAATCTGCCCATACAATCAGAATCTCTGTTTTTGATTTTAAAAATTAAAAAATTTTTTAGGTACCGTATATACTCTATTAATTACCCTGGGTTGTTTCGACGCCTCTTTGGAGAGAGTAATTGATAGAGGCGGGGTATGGTTGTTCAATTTTCAGGGGGTCTGTATTTTGGTCAAATCAAGTCGGATTTTGTTGATTTTGGTGTCATTCGACACAGCTCGATGTGTACTACAATTGTTGTTCAGACTGACCATTTTTACATATTTTTCGAAAAAATGGGGGAGGGGGGGGGGAAGTAAATAAGTACCAATTATTTGAGGGAGGGTAATTGATAGAGTATATACGGTATTTATTAATTACCCTATTTTTTCGATTTAATTCCCCGTGTCCGGGATAGTTAAAACATTAATATTCCCCTCTCCAAAGTGCTCTACTGCACATTGAAATCTCAAAACTCAAATAATTCCCAATCCTTCGGATAGTGTTGAAATATTAATCCCCCAGAGTAATTATCGAGAAATAAATTGATTTAAATCTAAAACTTACGATAATTTGCTGAAACATTTAATAAGACCAGGAACATTATCAGGCCACTGAAGAAATTCATCATACTCTGACGAGTGTCGTTTTGCACGAATTAATTTAGAAAATGGTCCTTTAAGTTTATAAAATTAATTTTAAATTTATTTTTTTTTTTTAAATTTTTTTCCTAAATTAGCTTCTCTGGAAGGTTAAAATAATTTCAAAAATAATATGTAAAATAGAGATATTCCTGCTGGTCCCGTGACATATTTTTAAAAAATCCTAGCCTCTAAAGGATAGTTTACATTAATATTTGATTTCAAGAGCATTCGATTTTACCCAAAAAATCCAATCAAATTTCGAAAATATTTGAATTTTACCTTGTTCTGGACAAATAATTTTTTTAATTCTACGCTCTAATTAATGTAGAAGGTCTTCCAGACCCCGAAGTATTTCTAGGATTGTTCCGATCACATCCTCTCCCCTTGTATCCTATGTATAATATCTGGAAAGGGCCCACCGCTTCGGCGCATAGTTAAATGGGAGAAGTGTTCTATTTTACTTTAAAACTCCTTAATTTTAATAAAAAATAATTAAATAACCATTTTCGATGTTTGCCATATTTTTATTAATTAAAACAATAAATATTAACATTAAAAAATTAATTTTGAGTAAGACAGGAAATTTCATTAAGGAAATGATAAAAATTTTATTTTTTAAATTAAATAATATTTATTCCACAAACATTGTTTTATATGTATGTATCATTTCTGAATTATTTTTTGGTTAAATAAAATTTGAAAGACAACGCGGCAAACAAATTATCAAATAAAAAAAAACATTTTCCCTCCTCATTTTCTGTTATTTTATGTTTGAATGATATCATCTGATTAAATATTTAATAAAAATATTTAGATTCCTCTCATCAGAATTTTTTGCTAAAGGAAGTAAATTTTGTAAAAATAAGACGTGGAAATATTAAAAAAAAAATAATTTTCCCTTACGTATGATGATTTCTAAAATTTTATTTTTATTATTTTGTTTTTCGTATTTTCTACCCTTTGTTTTGCGTTGATATTTGGGTTGTGGAAGAGGTTATGTTAGAACTTAGTTTCTTTTGTATTTTTAATTGACATAACTAGATATGCTTACCTGAATTTTTGTAGATTTTTCGAACGACCCCTAATGCCGAAACTTAGGGGGTCTTTTAAAAAATACCAGTCATATCTCTTACTATCCACGAATAATTTATATCTAATTGTTTTTTTTCTCTCGAATATAAATTATAAATTCATAAAAAATTTTAAAATTATTTTACTTTAAAGTTAAATATGTTTTTTACGTAAAACTAAAAGGTGCTTATCATTTTCTGACAGAGTGTAGGTTTCTTGTATTAGTAAGTTATGTGACACGTTGATATTTACCACAATAATTCCGAAAAATTCTGACATACTTCCGGGATTAGTAATTTTTTAATTTCAAGTTGTCGCTAAATAAAAAAATTTTTTTTGGAATAATAAAAAATTTAAAATATTTTTATTAAATATTTTAAAAATTAAAAAAATTCATTTTAATTTTTTAGTTCACATTTTTCTTTTAATTTAACAACCTTTAAAAGTACACAATTGTTTTAAAATTGTTCACATATTTTTCAAGTTGGAGCCAATTTTAATGCGCAATTTTTTTCTCTTTAGATCAAATCCATTTAAATGTTAAAATCTGGTTTGTGAAGGCGAAAAGTTTTTACTTTTTATGTTCTACACAAATGACTTTTAAAGTTAAGTTTTTTTGAAAGTAAAGTTTTTTTTCTTTTTTTTTTTTGAAAAACGTGACTGATAAAATATAAAAAATATCAAAAATACACTGTAATATCTTTATGAAACGTGGGCCTATTTTTAAAATACACACTGAGAGCTTTGTTATAGAATTCCGTTTAATTCGACAGTGCCACTCTATTAGAGAGGGACACGAAACTAGTACGAAGTTAACTGGGACTTAACTTAGCTCCACTTAACTGGGACTCAGGTTCGATACAAGAAGCTGAGCTAAAGTCTGCTTTAGTGTAGCACATGTATAGCACTTAAATAGGCTGCAAGTCTCGAATGGGAAGGCAATTGCTTCTAGTTTGCTTTTAAATCCTGAGGAAGCGAGGTATTGACTTACCTACTACTACTATAATAAATACCGTGAATGCTCTAATTATAGCCCGGCTCTATTAGAAGCAGGGCTGGACGCAATTGCGGATTGCGTATTGCGGATTGCGTGAAATTGCGTGTTTTTTTGACTTGCGGATTGCGTATTGCGGCTGCGGATTTTAAAATTAAAATTGCGGATTGCGTATTGCGGCTGCGGATTTTTACGATTTTTACGCAATTTTCACGCAATTTTTTGAAATTTCACGCACCATAAATGGAAGAAATCTGGCCCTTTGGCCTTCCAAAATTCTCAAAATTTTCGCCTCCGGCGGTAAAAAGAAAGAAATCTGGCCCCTTAGCCTTCCAAATTTCTCGAAATTTTCGCCTCCGGCGGTAAAAAGAAAGAAATCTGGCCCCTTAGCCTTCCAAATTTCTCAAAATTTTCGCCTCCGGCGGTAAAAAGAAAGAAATCCGGCCCCTTAGCCTTCCAAATTTCTCAAAATTTTCGCCTCCTCCAAAATCCTCAAAATTTTCGCCTGCGGCGCTGAAAATGGGAGATTAAAAGTGATATTTAGGGATTAGTAAGATTCAGGGGATTTAGCGAGATTAAGGGAATATCATGGGATAATATTTGGATTTGGATTAATAAGGGGTTATTGTTGGGTTGGGTGATATCGGAGCTTTGATGGATGTTGTAGAATTAAGATGAATATAAGATTACTTGGTGATTATGGTGGATATCGAAAATCCGGGCAGATTAAGAGGTCTATAGTGGATGTATCTTGATTTTAAAGGATATAGAATATATTTCTTTTATCTCTCTTAATATTGCTCTTCATCATACTCTAAAGTAGTATACCAAATTGAATTTGGATATATCGCGGGATTTAAATAGAATATAGAAGGATTAAGGCGGATAGACTCGGATTTAAAGGGATTAAGGTGGATTCCCCCTGCTCTGAATCTCTCTCAATCCCTTCAAATTCCTAATCTTCTATATCCTTCCAAATCACTGATATCACATGGAAGCTTCCCTAACACTTCAAATCTCATTTTCCCAGACTACCACTTATTTCAAAAATTGCGGATTGCGTATTGCGGATTGCGTGAAATTGCGTGTTTTTTTGACTTGCGGATTGCGTATTGCGGCTGCGGATTTTAAAATTAAAATTGCGGATTGCGTATTGCGGCTGCGGATTTTTACGATTTTTACGCAATTTTCACGCAATTTTTTGAAATTTCACGCACCATAAATGGAAGAAATCTGGCCCTTTGGCCTTCCAAAATTCTCAAAATTTTCGCCTCCGGCGGTAAAAAGAAAGAAATCTGGCCCCTTAGCCTTCCAAATTTCTCGAAATTTTCGCCTCCGGCGGTAAAAAGAAAGAAATCTGGCCCCTTAGCCTTCCAAATTTCTCAAAATTTTCGCCTCCGGCGGTAAAAAGAAAGAAATCCGGCCCCTTAGCCTTCCAAATTTCTCAAAATTTTCGCCTCCTCCAAAATCCTCAAAATTTTCGCCTGCGGCGCTGAAAATGGGAGATTAAAAGTGATATTTAGGGATTAGTAAGATTCAGGGGATTTAGCGAGATTAAGGGAATATCATGGGATAATATTTGGATTTGGATTAATAAGGGGTTATTGTTGGGTTGGGTGATATCGGAGCTTTGATGGATGTTGTAGAATTAAGATGAATATAAGATTACTTGGTGATTATGGTGGATATCGAAAATCCGGGCAGATTAAGAGGTCTATAGTGGATGTATCTTGATTTTAAAGGATATAGAATATATTTCTTTTATCTCTCTTAATATTGCTCTTCATCATACTCTAAAGTAGTATACCAAATTGAATTTGGATATATCGCGGGATTTAAATAGAATATAGAAGGATTAAGGCGGATAGACTCGGATTTAAAGGGATTAAGGTGGATTCCCCCTGCTCTGAATCTCTCTCAATCCCTTCAAATTCCTAATCTTCTATATCCTTCCAAATCACTGATATCACATGGAAGCTTCCCTAACACTTCAAATCTCATTTTCCCAGACTACCACTTATTTCAAAAATTGCGGATTGCGTATTGCGGATTGCGTGAAATTGCGTGTTTTTTTGACTTGCGGATTGCGGATTGCGTCTGCGGATTTTAAAATAAAAATTGCGAGTTGCGGATTGCGGCTGCGGATTTTAAAAATAAAATTGCGAGTTGCGGATTGCGGCTGCGGAA